TGTAAACCGCTTTGACAAAATCAAAAGCTTTTTTCATTGCAATGACAACTCAAAAAATGTGCAGAGAAGTCACCCAGAGTTTGACAAACTCTTCAAAGTAAGGCCAGTGATAGATTCTGTTCAAAATAAATGTAGGAAGGTTCCACAAGAGGAAAAGCACTCTATTGATGAACAGATCATTCCTACAAAGGGCAGGTCTCCAATAAGGCAGTATATTCCCAACAAGCCACATAAATGGGGAATAAAGGTTTGGGCACGCTGTGGAGTCAGTGGCATTGTTTATGATTTTGATGTTTACACTGGTGCTTCTCCAAATGGGAATCTAGATGAGTCATTGCAAAATTTTGGCGTTGGTGGTAATGTGGTGGCTCGCCTATCATCAACGCTGCAAAGAAATGTTGGCTACAAGCTTTATTTTGATAATTACTTCTCTTCCGTCGCACTGATGCAGTATCTTCAAAAGGAAAGGATCTGGGCTGTAGCAACAATACGGCAGACAGACTGAAAGGTGCAGAGAAAGTCCTAGAAGACAAAAAAAGCTTGAGCAAGAAGGGAAGAGGGTCCAGTGACTGGTGTGTTGATGCCAACAGTAATGTTGTGATTGTTCGTTGGATGGACAATGGAGTTGTTCAATTAATTTCAAATTACATTGGCAAAGATGATGGTTCCAAGGCTCAAAGGTGGTCAGCTAGAGAAAAGAAGTTTATAACTATATCTCGACCTCTGATGGTTGAAGAGTATAACTTGCACATGGGGGGAGTCGATTTATGTGACATGCTGATGGCTCTCTACCGGATAAGACTTCGCTCTAACAAATACTACATGCATATCATTTATTATTGTATTGGCGTGTCAGTCATCAATGGATGGCTTCTCTATAGAAGGCACTGCATGCAGCTAGGAATTCCAAGTAAAGATGAATTGACATTGATTCAATTTCAGTCAATGGTTGCAAATGCCTTGACACTTGCTGGGAAGAGCACACAGCCAAGAAGAGGACGGCCATCGATTACCCCCCCTCCAAAGAAGAAAACAAAATGTCATGCTGTAGCAACACCCATCAATGATGTTCGCTTTGATAATGTTGGGCATATCCCAGATTTTGAGGAGAAGCAACAGAGATGTCGTTACTGTCCTAAGGGGTACTCTGCAGTCAAATGTGTGAAATGTAAAGTTCATCTCTGCTTTGTACGAGGGAGAAACTGCTTCAAGAATTTCCATTCAAAGTGAAGATTAGGACCATTTGCTAGGCATTAACTGCAGTATGATAGGTTCAAGATTGTCAGTTCATTTAAGAGTTTTAAAGTTCATGTTGAGTTATTATAAAATATATGAACAGTATATACCTTCTGTTATCACTTGTACCACAACAGAATCAATATGTATGTAGAACAGCCCAGGGGGAGAAAGTGCTAATTATCAAAAGGCCAATCCTCTTTCCAAAAGCCCTATCTGAACTGAAAATTCAAATAATTGGCTATCTGTCTTAATAAAGTGTGTGGAAATATACAGAAAACCACATTTTTAGATATTTTGATATTTCATTATCAGCAACAACTTTATACCATTGCCGCATAATGTTGTTGTGGGACAACAATCTGACATGACATCATCTTCTAATAATAATGTCAAAATTGGTCTGAAAATAGTTCTCCACATCAAAATAAAACATTCTAGTGCAAAAAATTATTTTTTTTTGGATTTAAAAAAATTAATGCAGGAAAGGGTTAAAAGAGTGCATTTTCCAGGGAACTAGAAGCATCACAATTCGAAAATTTCCTGACCCTTCGGCGGCAACCATGGTGCCGCCTCAGGTAGTAACTATATATTTTGCCCGTCCCGATATAGAGATTTGACAAGACTATTAGGAAAGTCGGTTATTATCATACAGAGTTAGATTGACAAAATGTATTGCAGAGGTTTGTGACACCAGCTAAAAAGTTTCAGGCAATAATTTTTTAATCAGGTAAATTTGCATTCCACCCCCCCCCCAAACGAGGCTTGCCTCGCGACGGCCCTGCCTGCTATATGGGGCAAATCGAATTTTTTTTTCTGTCTGCAATTTGACACATCCAGCGTCGGCAGTTACGGAGAATATAAACTTCGGTACCTTGAAGGTTTGTCTCTAGCGCCACCCCTGAACCCGCCGGGTACAGATCCAGGCCGGGATCGATCCCAAACTGGTACGGACCGGCCCCTGTTTACACTGGAACGCTCGAGGTCGATCCGCTTTCCGTGCTAATTTAGGCTCGCCTTGGAAAGCGTTCCGTCTCGTGTAAACGCCCGAAATAGGTGGGATCGATCCCAAATTGGCACGGATAGGAAACGAGGCTAATGAATTCCCCAGTTTGAGGTGCTTTGGGCACGGTGCTTCAACATTGGGTCAGATCTTGCAAGGCCTCTTAATACAAAAACAAAAGACGGAAAATACAAAAAAAGATGAAAAAGTCGTCTATTTTTTTACAAGTTTATTGATAAATTTAGCAAACAGGCTCTAACTTATAATGTTTCTGCTCCAGCTTGATATTCAGGAGTGGGGCCCTTTTTTCAACGCTCCAAATAAACATTTTGTTGCTACCTTTCAAATTCGAAGCCATTTTCTCTCAGTCTTTCTATAAATTTGGCGGTTTATTCTTTGTGTTGTTGATGACAAAAACAATACGCATGAATATTCCTTTCAAAAAGGCCTAGAAAGCCGCGAGTTCCGATCTGGGAACGATCCCGTGTAAACATCCCGTTTCGGATCGATCCCAAACTAGATCGGTCCCATTTTCCCCGTGTAAACCAGAGTCTTAGTCATTTTTATTTCATATTATAATATTTATACAGTTTAAAGGTTCATACATATATATGTTTTTCAACCTGACCAATTTAAAATATTAGAATAAGCACTAATATTAATAACAAGATAAATTAA